AAACATAGATATATTTTTGAATTCCGGAAAGAAAGCAATAGTGTTCTGTTGAGGCAGACAAGAAGCGTGCGAAGCAAAAAAGTGATGTTTTTTTTTCTCATAGACCCCTCTGCATGATCTCACTTGATGACCAAAGACAGTTAATTCCGAGTGATATACCACCATTTGTTTGCCAGGTATTTTTAAATAATTTAGGGAAAAACGAACAAGAAATCGTTTCCTATCGTACCATGACTGTAGTATAGTGTAGTCCCATGACAGTATATAATAGGACATATGAAATTGGCATTTTGTACAACCAGTACGTGAAAAACATGGCCTCAGACCAATGGTCCTTATGTTTACAAAAATAGTTTAAACGAATATAAAAAAGTTACAAGGTTTTATGTAGCGACGTCTGAGTTTATACAAATAAAATAACAAACGAACTTTACAATTCCTCTTTAATATAATATTATACCACCTTTGTGGCATACCTTGGGGGAAGCCTATGTTCAGCAGTGGACTTGTGAAGGGTTGTAATGTTAATAATGATGATGAGGATGATATTATACGAAAGAGAGAAGAAATTACAAATACAGAAACAGAAACAGAAACTTTTTTACTTAATATAGATTATATGTAATACATATTGAGTCACTTTTTTTAATTTACCACTGGTTCGGAAATAACCTTTGTCCTGAGAAGAACTAGCAAGAAACCCAGCGGCATTTTTTTTTAAAACAACGGCTTACAATCGTGTATGTTAAAATAACAGCACACAAATTAGAAATAGCTTGGTAACGATCACCCTTCCCAGAGGTTATTATCATCCATCAATTCCTTAATATTATAATAACCCTTTTTTTACAAACTTAGTTTAATAAAGTTTTTGAACCTTGAGCATGTCAAATTTTGTATATTTTCTGGGACAGAGGTGATTACGCAAATATTTTTAGCGTCTTCTATTTCTAATTCTCCATCTTAATCTTTATAACGGAATACAGCTAAAAAATTATAGACCAATTTTGGAACACATACAACTACACTACGTCATTTCTTAGTCTTGTATAAGTGGCATTCCGCCACAGTGTTTAAAATATAATAAAGAATACTTTAATAAAGCGGTAAATGTATTAATTTACAAATAAATGGTTTTGCTTGTGAGTTACGCAAAACTTTCCGTGCACGGCGCAAAGAATATAAAAAACTAGAGGAAGAAGCAAAATGCATAAATGATATACGAACCACTGCCGCCAAACTCACACATTTACAAGAAAGAAATGTGTACCGACAATGGTGCACCATTTCAACGATTTTCGCGTGATTGGCTATTAGAAAATGAAAGAGAAAGGTATACGTCACCCAAATTCGTTTGAGTACAAACCATAAGTTCTTAAAAATAGAGATCATATTTCCTTTTCATCAAGGAAGTTTCTTAACGTTAGATGTCGCAGTAATGCCGCGCTTATTTTAAAACACACCACAAAATCTTATTTATAGATATCGTCATGCCTTAATCTAAAAAGCTTCCAGGATTGACGAAAAAATGACTATGTGACGCTAGATCTCGCAATAATAAATTCACGGTGTTATAGGCAAAATTTAATATATGACGACATGATGACATAACGTTGATTTTTGCGCTACCTAACCTATACTGCTACGTGAATGCTATTAGGTATGTAGTTACTCTACCCGAACTTGATATGACTTATCGATATTCAGTCAATATTAAGTGTAAGAAAATACTTGAAAAACCTTCGAAATTGCGCATATCCCCGTAATTCATATAGCCGGCATATAATTAGTTGTTAGTAGGGGAAATTTGTTAACAGTGACTTATTGAAATGAAAGCAACGGGAATAATAAAACAACAATAATTTATCAATTATTTATTGTCATTTAAGTTAGTAGGTCTCGTCTAATGAAGTCAACGCTCCGTCCCCCTCGTGCTCTAATACAAAATCCCGAAAACTTTCAGCTCGAGTTACGTAACCGCTTTCAGTGCCTACAAGATTGCAATGCAGTGGACGATATGAATGACAAGCTCGTGGAAACTGTCCATGCGGTCGGAGCTAAGTTCTGCAAGACCCGCCGCAGAAGAACACAAAAACTCTCCGATCACACTCTTAATCTCATGGCTGTTAGACGGGAGATGAGGCTGCAATCGTCAACAGATTTGACAGCATACAAGCAACTGAACAGACAGATCTCTAAATGCATGCGGCGAGGCTTACGCAATTTTAATACTGCTCGTATTAAAGAAGCGATCGAGCGGAACCAGGGCTCCAAAGTCTTTGCCAGAGATCTGTCTGCCAGTAAGAGCCAACTGTCAAAGCTGAAGACTGAGTGTGGCAGCATCGTTTCCGGGACACCTGAGATTTTGAGTGAGATTGAGAGGTTCTATGAGCAGCTGTACACATCATCGTTGGAGCCACACGCAAGTGTGAGTAACAATCCAAGAGCAAGTCTTATCCGACACTATTCCGATGATATCCCGGACGTCAGTCTGAGCGAGATTAGAATGGCTCTCCAGCACCTTAAAAACGGCAGGGCCCCAAGCGAGGATGGAATTACAGCGGAGCTTCTGAAAGCGGGTGGAACACCGGTACTTGAAGTCCTTCAGAAGCTCTTCAATTCCGTCCTCCATGGTGGCACTACTCCAGAGGCGTGGAGCAGAAGTGCGGTGGTCTTGTTCTTTAAGAAAGGCGACAACGCTCTCTTGAAGAACTACAGACCGATTTCCCTTCTGAGCCGCGTCTACGTGCTGTTTTCGAGAGTCACTACGAATCGTCTCGCACGCAGACTCGACGACTTCCAGCCTCCCGAACAAGCCGGTTTCCGAAAAGGCTTCAGTACCATAGACCACATACATACCCTGCGGCAGATTGTACAGAAGACTGAAGAGTACAATCTGCCACTTTGCTTGGCGTATGTGGACTATGAGAAAGCCTTTGATTCCGTCGAAATTTGGGCGGTGCTACAGTCCCTTCAGCGGTGCCAAGTTGACTGTCGGTATATCGAAGTGCTGAAGTGTTTGTACAGTTGGGCTACGATGGCTATCCGAGTACAGAACCAGAGTACGAAACCTATTCAACTGCAGAGAAGTGTAAGACAGGGTGACGTTATATGAAAATGAATGAAAATGAAAATGATTGATTGATTTACAACGATACATTTTAAAACAGGTCTTAAGATAAACATGGACAAAATAAAGATCATGTTTAATGTCCATGTCACACCTATGCCGGTAGTTGTTGGGAGCACTATGCTCGAAGTTGTTAACGAGTACGTTTACCTGGGACAAATAGTCCGACTAGGTAAGTCCAACTTCGACCGAGAGGTCAATAGACGGATTCATCTCGGCTGGGCAGCGTTCGGGAAATTACGACATATCTTCTCGTCAGGTATACCTCAATCTCTAAAAACTAGATTGTACAACCAATGCGTGTTGCCAGTGATGACTTACGGATCTGAGACGTGGTCCTTCACTGCTGGCCGTATGAGGACGCTCAAGGTCGCTCAGCGAGCTATGGAGAGGGCTATGCTCGGAGTTTCTCTGCGTGATAGACTCAGAAATGAGGATATCCACAGTAGAGCCAGAGTGACCGATATAGCCCAACGGATTAGTAAGCTGAAGTGGCAATGGGCCGGCCATATAGCTCGAAGAACCGACAACCGATGGGGAAGAAAGGTTCTCGAGTGGCAGCCTCGTACCGGTAGGCGTAGTGTAGGGCGACCCCCCACTAGATGGAGTGACGACCTGGTAAGATATGCAGGAAGTCAATGGATGCAGGTGGCTCAGGACCGTGCTTTGTGGCATTACTTGGGGGAGGCCTATGTTCAGCAGTGGACTTGTGAAGGGCTGTAATGATAATGATGATGATGATTTAAGTAACACATATTTGTTTAAAAATAGCCGTTTTCACACTTTAATATTAAATTTTAAACGATAATTAATTTGAATACAAATGTGTGTGCTGCTGACATAGCACACACATACATCGCCCGTGTCAATGTAAATGTAATTCTCATGAAATACGATAACGACCGTCGCTAGCGGGATGGCAGTCTGTAAGTCGGTTAGCTAGAGTGCAGTAGGCAGTTCCTTTCTAAGTGTATCATGTGAACACGCATGTCTGATTTAGACAATAAATCAACTACAACGAACGTGAACAATTACTTCATTTCCCTCCCTACACAAGCCTCTAAGATACACTAGCCACAAACACATTCACAACACCAACATAGATCATGATAGCCTAGACACTGGATCACTTTTATTTCAGCTACTTTCCAAAAGTCATGAGTAACACTAAATTTCTTACTTACTTCTCTGGCAGAGCAAACTTAACAAAAATGTTCATTCATAGCAAATTATAGGGTATCACCCTATAATTTCGTAATTTCCATAGACATCCAGTACTTACACATTATCATAAATATGTTTATGGATAAACAGGACTGACTGTTTTGTCAGGCCTGCCCCGCCCTCTTTGGGCTTCCTCTTGTTTTTTATATTCCGTGGCACCCCACGTACGAATACTTGCAACCTACTAATATCAAAAAGGACATATTTATCGTTGTCACTTCTAATTGATCGTCAACGCTTTAAGCTGCTCTGGGTTGAATATGGCTAAACGAAAGTATCTCGTACTGGGATGACGCGGCCCAAAGTTGTAAATTTACAAGTTATTAGTTATAGTTATAGTAAATTTACATTGTAAAGTTACAAGCGGTGTGCCGGAACGAAACATGTTTAAATCGCACGCGATATGTCGATGACCAGAATTCCGATACTGTTTGAGACAACAAAGGTCTTTAAAAGAATACATACGACGAAAAGTCATTCAGAAGTAAACCCACAAAAATGTGTCTGATTGTGAATTAAAAGTGAATCAAACTGGCCCCCAATCGAAGAATTTGTTTTACAAAAACTTGAATTCAGGCACAAGTTTGTTTCGGCATCCGAAGACGTGTGACACAAGGAATATTAGCTCGAACTATGTGTAACTTACCAGAGCAACCGTGGCGCGTCGTCAACATCCTCATCGGAGCGCTCCAGATCGCGCAACGTCTCCTGCCGCTTCAAGATCTCTGCCCTCATTTTCATAACCTGAAAGTTAAACATTACCAATTTAAATGTATTATCGACTTTTCTATGTGCGTAAATTAATTTATTGAGAGAGACTTACTTCTTCATTCGCTTTCACTTCCAAGTCTCTTTGTTTCATTTCTTCCAACTCCGTTTTCTGTTGGACCATTTGCTCATAAAACGACAGCGTTGGTCGATTGTGCTCATGAAGGAATTGCTGTAATTAATGTTTCAAAAAAAGGTATTAAGAGATACTCAAATGGAAAATAAAGTGCAACACAAGACTTTCTTCTTACAAATATTCTAATTGTATGGGATTCCATTTAGCTTTTTCGTCGTGAGTGTTATATGAATACATTATGATATTTAACAGTGGTTGGAGTGTCCAGACAAATGCCGGGGAACCGCTTATAGTTTCTTGGGCTTATAACATAAAATGTCAAAGTAAACAATCGTCATGATCACATTACACAGGCATCCGTCAAGAAATGCCACAACGGTCTTGAGCTTCCGTCAACTTTGTTATGAAATAAGCAGTACTTATGATAAAATAAGAGCTTTTCTTTCCACCATCCATATGTTAATAAGATATATATATATATCGAGAGAGAGAGAGAGAGAAAATGCCACTACATAACCTTGTAAAGTGTTTTTGGCCCACATTACAGTTAGTATTATTATTACTAATATTAGAAGGTTCAGTTCTTATTTTTAATTTTAGCTAATTGTAGTGTGATTTAAAATAATTTATAAAAATGTTAATATCCTTACACCTGTGTACTAATGTCTAGATACACCGTATAAATAAAAAAAAACCTTATTCAAATAAATAATAATGAATAAATAATACATTACAATTTTCTTACCTGAGTATGATGGGCCAGCTGAAATATCATGACTTCTCCGCACTGTTGAGATGCGAGCTCCTCCAACTCTTTCAATAATTTATTTGCGTTCTCTAAGGAGAGCCCGTGCATGCTCTTCACAGAAATCTTCGGGGGTCTAAAAATAATTTGGAGGATGTTTTCAATATTTTATGTCAGTAAAAAACAAAGAAAAGATCAAAGAAAGACAAGTCGATAAATCACTCATGTCAACTAACAACTAGTGACCTCCGCACGAGACAGACCACAAGTTACTGACATCGCCTTTGATATCTGCAGAATGAAGTGGCAATGTATTAATATTAAAATCTGATACAAGTAACAACAGTAGAGTCAAAGTGTACAGGAGATCGTTCATATATGAATGACCAGCATGACTGCCACCATTGGCGGTGGTACATCTCCTAGTCACTAGTGAGTAGTAGTAGTGTTTCATATTAGTGCCCGTTGAGTTGGGCTTAGGATCGTGCGGCAGGAACTTGAGGGAGTAAGGTGTTTTATTTGGAAGAAGTTTGATCACCGATTATAACAATACCACCCGCATTAAAAGATAATGCACCGTTTTGGAGAAAATAAAAAAACTATTACAACATAAAATGTGTAAAACATGGACAAACGAATGCAATATCGATAATATTGCATACGTTTAAAGGCTAGATAGCATGCAGAGTTTTATGTAAGTGCAACAAGGACGTAAGACCATGTCGAAGATTAGTGTCACAGACTCATTATAATTCTATTTTAATTTTTCTGTGGTCTATACGCTGTCAAGTGTCAAAACGTATTACGTACTAATTTTTATACATTCCGCCGTTAGTTGCTCTTCTTACATGAATGTGTGCTCTCCAGTGTATTATAATAGCTTTTATCGCGCTATACTTGAGTACTCAGAAATACTTTCAGTTGAAATTGGTTAGGAGGTTGCGACGGGAGCGAAGCGTTTTTTTTTTCGCACCGAGCGGTTATTTTTTTACCACCCGGCGGTTTTTTTAACACTCAGAAATACTTAAGCACTCAGAAATCCTTACAGTTGTGATAGGAGACAACCACGCTTCCCCCTCCCCATCCTGCCGGAGACGATAATTGCTATCATTTCGAGGTCAGGTCTATGATTTTATTTTTGATTTTTCTCAATAACGGTGTATCACTTTCTGATGGGAGTGGTTTCGGGGATTAGGGTACACTCTCCCCTCCCCCTCTCCGATCCTCCTGCTAAACGATTATAAATTTAATAAATGTGATAATAGTTTTTTTCTCCAAAACGGTGCATTACCTTTTAATACTCGTGCATACAAATTCCTGGCAAACGATTCTAAATTTTAACTCCGCCGTGATCCAAATGCGGACATTATTATTATTGTATGTACACACACACACACACACACACACACACACACACACACACACAATATATATATATATATATATATATATATATATATATATATATATATATATATATAATACAAGCCGATACCACAGACTCGGCTCCACGCCGTGGTAGCGGCGTTAAATATACCACCCCATTTCGCACCATGAGGAATCGAATTAAAGAAATGGCCCCGAGTTTTCGGCACCCCTTTGATGAGGCAGGGGTGCGAAGAAACTCCGGGAGTAAAACCAGCGACGAAGTTCGCCACCCATCACGTTCAGTCTCCCGGAGGGGCGAAAAGTGGATTGCAGAGGCCCGTCTGGCTACGTTGAATGTATGTGGGGCAATGAATGATAAAATGGATGAAGTATGCGATATGATGTATGATAGAGGAATAAATGTGTTATGCGTAAATGAGACGAAAAGAAAGAGGAAGGATGTCACTACACATGGCATGTATACCGCATACTGGTCTGGTGTAGACGAGATCGAGCAGGCATGCCAGGGAGTAGGTATCATCCTTTCAGAAAGAATGGGCCAATGTGTGAAAGAGTATGAATGTGTAAGCCCAAGACTGCTATGGATACGAATGAAAGTGGGCTTAAAGAAGTTGTTTGTGTTAGAGGTCTACGCCCCAGACATGTCTAAGCCCACTTATATCCGAGAGCAGTTTTGGGAAATGGTAAGGATGGTGTTAATGAAGTGTAAGGGAAATGAAAATATTATTATGCTAGGAGATTTTAATGGAAGGGTTGGGGTCAGGAGGCTTGGTTATGAAAGGATATTGGGAACGTTTGGTGATGAAAGTATAAATGAGAATGGTGAAAGTCTCCTCACCGTATGTATGGAAAAGAATCTTTTTGTGACGAACACTTGCTTTCGCCACAAGAGGATTCACATGTATACTTGGGAAAGAGGTGACGATAGAATCATGATAGATTTCATAATTGTGGATGAAAGATTGAGGGGCGCAGTGGTAGATACGAGAGTTTACCGGGGTTCTAACGTAGGAACGGATCATTATTTAGTTTTATGCCGAATTAAAGGTCTATCCAGGCGTTGGCGCCATCTATCATCTGTGTCTACCACTGCGTTACAGCGTATTAGAACAGAAAGGTTACAAGATGAAAGTGATAAAAACAAGTTCAAATGTAGACTGAAAGAAAATATAAGTGGTTTGGATGAATTATGTATAAAGGAGTTAGACTTGGAGAATATATGGCAAAATGTAAAGAAAAGTTTAGTGGATGCAGCTACCGAAGTATGTGGTGTTAGTAAGAGAAAGAATGAAAGGAAAAATAATACGTTATGGTGGGATGATGAGATACGTATGGAAGTTGAAGCAAAGAAGAGAGCATGGCTAGATTTACTAGCAACAAAAGCTGCTAATTCTAGTGGTACGAATGGTGATATTGAAAGAAAAAAGGCAGTCTTTAGACATCTTAATAAGAGAGTAAAAGAAGTAGTTGAAAGAAAAAAGCAAGAAAGAACGGATAAGAATGATAGAAGAATATCGGATAACTTCCAGGCAAATATTAAAATATTCTGGAAACTTGTAAGAACTGCCAGGGGACATTCAAAACAGCCTATGATGAATGCTATAAGAGACGAGAATGGCTATATTCTGAATGATGAAGTTTTGAGTTTAAAGAGATGGAAGGAATATTTTGAAAGCGTGTTTATGAGTGAGGAGACAACGTGTGTACTAAGTGAAGTAGAAACACCGAAAGAAGAGGAAAGAGGTAGCGAGATAAGTATAGATGAAATAATGAAAGCAATGAAAAGCATGAAAGCAGGTAAGGCTGCCTGATATGATAGAGTTTCACTCGAAATGCTAAGGGCTGGAGAGGAAGTGGTGGCAGGCCTGCTGCGCACCTTGTTTAATTTATGCTGGGAACTGAAGCGGGTACCGGTAGACTGGTGCAAAGCCGTGATAGTCCCAGTATATAAAGGAAGAGGGTCGCAGCAGGACTGTAAAAACTACCGTGGGATCAGCCTTCTTAGCACTGTGGGAAAACTGTATGCTAAGGTACTGATTGAAAGGGTCATGAAAAAAACTGATGGAAAAATTTGGGATGTGCAAGCGGGATTTAGAAAGTGAATGGGATGTACAGATCAAGTCTTTTCCATGCGCATGATCGCGGAGAAGTTTCTGGCCAAAAAAACAAAAGGTTTTTTGTGCGTTCATGGACTTGGAAAAGGCCTATGACAGAGTGTATAGGGATTTGCTATGGCAAACACTGAACTCATTTGGGTTGAGCGCTGGCTTGATACAGGCATTGGAGTATCTTTATAGGGACTCTAGTGCTTGTGTTAGGATCAACGGGGTCTACTCGGACTGGTTTGACATCCATAAAGGTGTCAGACAGGGCTGTGTGGCTTCCCCGTGGCTGTTCAACCTATTTATGGACAGTTGTTTGCAAAATTTGAAAGTTGAAGAATGCGGATTAAGAATGGGTGAGTTAACCGTCAAATGCCTTTTGTACGCCGATGATCAAGTTATTCTTGCGTCGTCGGCGGCCGAGTTGCAAATGATGGTTACATTAATGAACGGATCATTAAAAGAAAGGGGTATGAAAGTGAACGCAAGTAAGACGAAGGTTATGGTTTTTGAAAGAGAAGAAAGTAAAACGATTTGTGAAATAAGAATAGAAGGGGAGTTGATCGAGCAAGTAGATGAGTTTGTATATTTGGGCTGCGTATTTAGCAGGGATGGGAGATATGATAAGGATATAGAACGACGAGTGAATGCGGGAAATAGAGTAAATGGGGCCTTGCACTCTATTGTGAAGAGTCAAAATGTGTCGAAAAAGGCACGTATGGCAATTCACAATGCTGTGTTGGTCCCTACTTTAACGTATGGTAGTGAAAGTTGGGTGTGGCAGAAGAAGCACGAGAGTAGAATAAACGCAGTAGAAATGCGGTCGTTAAGGAGTATGTTAGGGCTGAATCTGAATGACAGGGTAAGAAATTGTGTAATAAGAGAAGAGTGTGGTTTGCAAGATGATGTTGTGACCAGGATTAAGAAAGGAATGCTTCGGTGGTTTGGTCATGTGGAAAGAATGAATGAGGAAAGAGTGACAAAGAAAATTTATGGTGCAGAAGTGAATGGCAGAGTCGGAAAGGGACGTCCTAGGCGAAAATTTATCGACCAAATTGGCGATTTATTGAAAACGGGCCAAATTAGGAGTACCCTTAACCGACGAGCATGTATGCGTAGGTGTATGGATGTGAAGGAGGCAAGAGAGGTGTGTCAGGATCGTGCCAAATGGAAGTCTGTAGTCTCTGCCCACCCCTCTGGGTGACAGGCGTGAGTGTTTATGTTATGTTTATGTTATGTTATGTTATATATATATATATATATATATATATATATATATATATATATATATATATATATATATATATATATATATATCAGTACATGAACACGCAGAAGGACAATAATGATAATGCTGAAAAACATACAAGAAAATCTGAAGGCAAGTTCTTATATAATATTAAGTGATAAGTAAAATGTATAATGATTTCTTATATTTACGCGAACACTATACATGATTAAAACTACTTTTACGGATTTTATCGCGTTTATTTTTACTTTTTATTTATTTTATTATTAATTCCCGACGTTTCGGGCGCTTTCCAGCACCCATGGTCACGGGGGACTGAGATGACTGACGTCCCGATGTCATTGTTAAACCCGGAGTACCTTCAGCTTTTTTAATTATTGTTTATGGTCCGATCTATGCAAAATGAACTGACTATGTCCTGAGGTCTTGCAGTGGTATGCTTGGGTTTAGTTTTAATTTTATTGATTATAGGATCCCAAGCAGGTGGTAGTACCCAGCCTCCTTCTCTATTGAAATTAGGATGTTTTTTTAATTTCAATAGCCTCACACTATTATACACACATAGATGATACGTGAGGCTATTGAAATTAAAAAAACATCCTAATTTCAATAGAGAAGGAGGCTGGGTACTACCACCTGCTTGGGATCCTATAATCAATAAAATTAAAACTAAACCCAAGCATACCACTGCAAGACCTCAGGACATAGTCAGTTCATTTTGCATAGATCGGACCATAAACAATAATTAAAAAAGCTGAAGGTACTCCGGGTTTAACAATGACATCGGGACGTCAGTCATCTCAGTCCCCCGTGACCATGGGTGCTGGAAAGCGCCCGAAACGTCGGGAATTAATAATAAAATAAATAAAAAGTAAAAATAAACGCGATAAAATCCGTAAAAGTAGTTTTAATCAAGTAAAAAGTATTATGATGAGGACCACACCACCAAGTTTAAAACATTTAGAGATTATACAAATAATATGTGAATGAGAGCTGTACTTGTCGGGATACTCGTGGCAACATTTGAAGCGCAAGTGATCGCGCAGTGCGCGCCCGCCGAGTCACGAAGCGGCAACAGACTGAGCAGAACGTCCAGCGGCCGCCACCCCTCCCCCCTCTTCTTCGCACCATTCTTCCTCATTTCCTTCGTTCTCCTTGACAGCATCACCATATATTGACTAAAATCAATGTAGGTAGTAAGTAGACAACCTCTCAGGCCCCGCTATTGTATTGGACCAACTTAGTCATACCCATGGTCAGGCCAAGGACAATTCTTTTTAAATAAAGGTAAATATATAACTTTAAGTCACTTTGCTAATTAATTTTATTGTTCTTACCCAAAACAAACACAACAATTAAAATATCGAATTATTTCCATGCAGGTCAAGTGACCGCTAGACTATTTGACGACCAGACGCCAACTGTTCAGTGATGTCTCAGTGATCGCAAGGGTGAAAACTGGCAGCGATCACCGAATGGTTAGAGGCACACTGTAAGTTCAGTGTGCCTGCCAGAGGTTTCGTCTAATGAAGTCAACGCTCTGTCCCCCTCGTGCTCTAATACAGAATCCCGAAACTTTTTAGCTCTAGTTACGTCACCGTGCCTAGAAGATTGCAATGCAGTGGATGATATGAATGACAAGCTCGTGGAAACTGTCCATGCGGTCGGAGCTAAGTTCTACAAGACCCGCCGCAGAAGAACACAAAAATTCCCCGATCACACTCTTAATCTCATGGCTATTAGACGGGAGATGAGGCTGCAATCGTCAACAGACAGAGAGATTTGACAACATACAGGCAACTGAACAGACAGATCTCCAAATGCATGCGGCGAGACTTGTGCAACTTCAATACTGCTCGTATTGAAGAAGCGATCTAGCGGAACCAGGCCTCAGGGCCAGGCTTCTTTGCCAGAGATCTGTCTGCCAGAAACAGCCAACTGTCAAAGTTGAAGTCTGAGTGTGGCAGCATCGTTTCCAGGACAACTAAGATTTTGAGTGAGATTGAGAGGTTCTAAGGGCAGCTGTACACATCAGCGTTGGAGCCACACGCAAGTGTGAGTAACAATCCAAGAGCAAGTCTTATCCGACACTATTCCGATGATATCCCGGAGGTCACAAATGCCTGCGAGATTAGAATAGCTCTCCAGCACCTTAAAAACGGCAGGGCCCCAGGCGAGGATGGAATTACAGCGGAGCTTCTGAAAGCGGGTGAAACACCGGTACTTGAAGTCCTTCAGAAGCTCTTCAATTCCGTCCTCCATAGTGGCACTACTCCGGAGGCGTGGAGCAGAATTGCGGTGGTCTTGTTCTTCAAGAAAGGTGACAACGCCCTCTTGAAGAACTACAGACCGATATCCCTCTTCTGAGCCTCGTCTACGTGTTGTTTTCGAGAGTCATTACGAATCGTCTCGCACGTAGACTCGACGACTTATATCCTCTAAAACAAGCCAGTTTCCGAAAAGGCTTCAGTACCATAGACCACATACATACCCTGCGGTAGATTGCACAGAAGACTGAAGAGTACAATCTGCCACTTTTCCTGGCGTATGTGGACTATGAAAAAGCCTTTGATTCCGTCGAAATTTGGGCGGTGCTACAGTCCCTTGAGCGGTGCCAAGTTGACTGTCGGTATATCGAAGTGCTGAAGTGTTTGTACAGTAGGGCTACGATGGCTATCCGAGTACAGAACCAGAGTTCGAAACCTATCCAACTGCAGAGAGGTGTATGACAGGGTGACGTTATATCCCCGAAACTCTTCACCACTGCATTGGAAGACATTTTCAAGCTACTGGACTGGAAAGGATACGGTATTAACATCAATGGCGAGTACATCACTCACCTTCGATTTGCCGACGATATAGTCCTTATGGCAGAATCGCTGGAGGACCTTAGCACTATGCTCAATGACCTCAATGGTGTCTCCCAACGGATAAGTCTTAAGATGAACATGGACAAAACAAAGATCATGTTTAATGTCCATGTCACACCTATTAGGGTAGTTGTAGGGGAGGTCAATCGACGGATTCAACTCGGCTGGGCAGCGTTCGGGATGTAGTGTAGTGCTCCCACGTTAATATACTTTAGTGTTAAGGTAGAATAACGAGCAGTCTAATTAAAGTTTTAGTACCAAACACACGTCTCCTTCATTGACATCCTTCCTATATTACCTGCCAGGCGATGCGCTGCGACAATGCATGCGCACCGCTGTGCCTAGTTAAAAGGTGGGAAGTAAAATACAAATACTACTAAATTACATAATGAATCGATTGATTTGTGAAACGATTGACAAAAAAAATATAACGGAATGGACGCAATATCGGATATGACGAAAAATAAATAAATACGAATACCAAAAGAGGCCACAATAATATTTATTTTCGAAACTACCTGAAAACGTTAGACTGAAAATGTATCTGACATATTTGGAAAGGGAAAGAAATAGTTGTATTGTAGCGAGCAACACCCAGAAGGATGTGAAAATTGAGCCGAAAAGAATAAAGAAGAATTTAAGAGGTAACTTAGCACCTGTGTGATTTTAATTCTATTTAATACTTGTATGAATTATGGTTAAATTTATGGCTTAGTTACGGAATATATCTATCAATTTGAAGTTGTTTTTATGTTCCTTTTGCTAGTTTACTTTTTTTTAAAGTGAAGTATTAAATATTCTATATTGAATATACCTATGTTTAATTTGAAATTATTCATCAGATACTTAACTATTCAATAGCTTTTTAATTGTCTTATAACTGTGTCTAAATAGAAATCATAACGCAACAATATAAATTAAGTTACGTATGCATTGATACACTTCTATTTAGGTACGAGATGATTTTAGATTCCCTTTAATTCCGTTATTGTTTTATATAAATTTACTACTTATTATGAAAAAAAAGATATAATATGATATATTACATTTTAATATACTTAAATTTACCATGTCAATAAATTTTTCACGTTTTGTTGTTGTAACACATTAGTAATAGATTCCGTTGTTTTTTTGGATAGCATCATCAGTTTCAATCTACTACATTATTAGTTTTAGTTTTTTTTCTTTTCTAAAGGTTAGCTAATTAATTAATTAGTTATTTAATCTTAAATTTATAATATAATTACCAACTTAAAATATTAAAATTGTTATTTTGAACGTTAAGATAAATTATTGTTTCATTGTGTAAAGTTGATAGGTGTTATATTGAATTTCGATAGTTTTTTGTATACGGTATAAATGTCATACTTCTATGTAAAAGTAATACTTTATTATTAACAATGTAACTATTTCTAAATATCTGTTCCAAGTTTTAAGGTATATTTTACTTACATTCATATTATAACATATTAAGCAAGTTACTTAAAATTAGGTATGAATCACCACACCTTGTGAATGTGATCATAGTCCGATGTAATTGCAAACATAGCCTTAACCTTATACGTGCTATGGAATGGAATTTAAAGTAAAGGTGTCTCAAATTGCTTGCGCTGCTAGGATTACAATTTGTATTTTGATCTGTCTGTTGTTATAGTAGTAATGATGACTTATTTTCTCGTTTTTATTTCTTTGTTCTTTTCATTTTCATATGCTATGTTAATTTATTTTCGGTATTATATTATCTGAACTTTTAAAACTCAAGCTTTTAACTATTATATTTTATTATTTTCTCGGAAAATAGTATTTACTTGTATGGATTATGAAAATATTTTCTTCGCTTTATACAATTTTGAAACTCATTACATAACTTACTACAATTAATTGATTTAAATTTTATTGTTTTCATATTGTGTCTCAATCCCTGAATGTGTCCCTGTAATTAAATATTATACGTGATAATTTTACGATATAAAGTAAAAGATGCGATTAAATATATGGCTAAGTTACGTTACATATAATTATATATAAAAATATGTATAGTGTGAGAGTAGGATAAAGAAAATTATCGGAGGTTAGTATATCCACATACAATCAGCCTGATCGGCTGAGAGTTTGGAAAACCTAATAGCCGATTAATTTTTAAGGTTGTTCGGACACGATTAAATGCGGAATAAGTTTTAATGTATTTTTAATGAGGGAAATGATAATTTATTATGAATTATAATATAGGAATATTTTCCATTATCTTGATCATGTATGTACGCGAACCGTGTACGTGAAAGTTATGGTACAATTAAATAAGGAATTACGCGAGCTGAAATGTAAAGAAGTGAAATAAATGATATCGGTCATTTTGTTGATCATGTACGCGAGCCGTGTACGTGAAAGAAATGACATACATATGTAATGAAGAGCCAAAGTGATAAGAGTGAAGTAACTAAGAATGAAGTAAATATATGACAAAAAAGAATAAAATAAAATATTGAAATGTAAAAGAACATGAGGATTAAGAGAATACTATAATATATAATAATAATATACTAGCTTGCCATGCAGACGTTGTTCTGCCCTTTTTTAGAATAATCTGAAGGATCTATTTTAAGAATTGATAAAAAAATATAGATAGCATATTTTTTTTATTCTTTTGTCGGTGGGAGATGTAGTGTAGTGCTCCCACGTTAATATACTTTAGTGTTAAGGTAGAATAATGAGCAGTTTAATTAAAGTTTTAGTACCAACCACACGTCTCCTTCATTGACATCCTTCCTATATTACAGGGAAATTACGACACACCTTCTCGTCAGGCATACCTCAATCTCTGAAAACTAGTTACCTCTTACGGCCAGCAGTGAAGGACCATGTCTCAGATCCGTAAGTTATGACTTACGGATCTGAGACATGGTCCTTCACTGCTGGCCGTAAGAGGATGCTCAAGGTCGCTCAGCGAGCTATGGAGAGGGCTATGCTCGGAGTTTTTCTGCGTGATAGACTCAGAAATGAGGATATCCGCAGTAAAACCAGAGTGACCGACATAGCCCAACGGATTAGTAAGCTGAAGTGGCAATGGGCCGGCCATATAGCTCGAAGAACCGATAACCGATGGGGAAGAAAGGTTCTCGAGTGGCAGCCTCGTACCGGTAGGCGTAGTGTAGGGCGACCCCCAC